AAAAAAAAAATGCCAGCGCCAAACAACAGGCAATAACATTTCACATGTAAAACGTTTTGTTACAATATTTAACTTTTACAAACGTGATGAATTTGATGTATTACAACAATTGAGTTTTGAAATGAACATCTTTATTTTTAATGTAATAAAACATCCTGCATCATAACTACATCTTTGGGGTTTGTAACAAACCAAACAGTTTGAAAATCGGCTGTAAATTCAACGAGTGATGTTGAGTTTAGTGTGGCTAGACCCCATGCCCTCATACCCAGGCGTGCATTAGGAGACGCCCCTGGGAACATGGCGGCAGCGGTGACGTATCGTAATAGAGAGAAGTAGCTCACACGGCATCTAGTGTTCATATCTACAAGCACAGCAGGCCGAGTGTTGTAAATATGGCGTCCGTAACAACAGGTGAGAGCATAAAGGCCCGGCTAAGGATCCACAACAGTTAAAAGATTTTGCTGTTTCACTGTTGAATATGGCTAATGTATCAATTCGGAACAATGTCTGGAGTTTTGTCGACCAATTCTTTTTATAGTGTTCGTCGCGGATAGCCGATATCACTTTTACATTCATGGCCATACTACGGCAAAGACAATGCTAGTGCAGACTGCTAGCTAGCACAGTTTTCATTGATAAAAAAGACGTTTAGTGAGAACTGAGAACTTAATTTTTGGCTGTTTTAATCGTTCATTTGGTTCATTTCAGTTGTTATTTGTCTTGTGCTGACATGAGTCGTCCAACACCGTATGTACTTTTACATTTCATGTTCAGTTTCCCGATTGACGCTGTTCTTCAAATCTGGCTTTATAACGTTACAGTCAAACGGCACATTACACTATTCGATGATGAATATAAATGTTAGTTGCACCCCTCATCATTTATAATTCTGTCTTGATCAGGCGCTAAGTGCCAAATGAGAATTTAGCCACCGTATGAATTTCGTGCAACTATGAGCTCATCAGTACCAGTTGGAGGCGATGTTCCGGCAGCTGTTCATCCTGGATCTGTTATTCCAGCCAGAAGACATGTTATAGTTGGTGTTAAAAATAACATCCAGCTGGCCACTGTCAGCATGTGTTCGAGTTCGGCATGCTGCTGCCTCCTAAGGTTTACGTCTCTCTCGACGTTTTGTGCCAGGCCCTTCTCCTACTGTAGTTTACAGTGTTGCTGAGAATCATTATCAGCAGTATAACTTTATTTTGTTTACCCTGAAGCCCAGTTTACTGTTACTGTGGTCACAACAACAGAACTATTGGTTGATTAGTTTATTAGAAAGTTGACCAAATGTTTTTATTATGTTGGTTATGTTCTTTAAACAGGAAGGTAGTTACCTCTGTCCAGGGCAGGCTTTATGTTTTGGCAGAGTTTGTGTGGTTGTTAACATCATAACTCAAAAAGTAATGAATGGATGTGGTTGAAATGTGTTGGAGAGGTAGAGTATAGGCTGTGGAACAACTGATTAGATTTTGGTTCTGATTCGTATCATATTTTGGATACAGGAATATTTTTAAAGATTGTTCACCATTGTGAGTGCTGCAAAGGCTGCTGACTGTATATGAGCTCCCTTGTAGCCAAAGTGCACGACTGCACTGCTGAGCACTCTGAGCACATGCAAAGACAAAGCCCTGAGTCACTGACAGCTGCCCATTCATTACCAATGAAACCGAGTGCTGTCACGCTGTGTGAGACGGGGACTGAAGGAGTCCCACGGCAACAGCCCAGAGCTGGGGAAAGGTCTGCTCTATGCAACAACAGCTGGGCAAGAGCCTGATGGCAGAGATTTTGAGCCAACCTCAAAGTTATCATTTTCATCTGTAGGGTTGGTATTATGCCATTTTATTAGACATTTTTCAGGTGACAAAGTGACCACTTAGATTGAGAATATGTGGTCAGTCTATCCAGGTAAGACCAGTTTAGAATCTCTTCTGACTTTTGGAGTTGTGAGTGCTTGTTTTTAGACCAAGGTAGCTCTATTAGCAGTCACCTACATCTTGTTCAGAGCACAGTAGTCTGTCAGCAAGGACGCTGGTGTTCCAGCTGCACATTGTAGCTGCATTTCCACTGTCAGAACCTAATGAGTCGATGCGGGCTGTCCTACCTTGCTTCACTGTAGTTTTCTCTGTGTTGGTCTCGAGGGGCTGCGCTTCAATTAAGGACAGAGGACGTAGTCTAAGAAGGCATGGCCTATGTAGCTGTCATAGACCACGAAGGCCGGACAATGGGCTGCACTGCTCCTGTTGCCTAGCAACCTTGACGGCTGCTCTGCTTTCTGTCGGGACGCAAAGAATCTTGGGATAGACTGAGCCATGAAGGTTTCAACAGTTAGAGCCGGTGTTGCATAAGAAGGAGGCATTTCTGGGCATTTGAAGGAGCCTTTGAAATGGTACGGCTTTGTCGCGACGCTTTGACCAAATCGGCCTTCAAATGCAGCCTTCAAAGGATGTGTCCCCTGAATTGGGATGTAACGTCTATGAGCAGTTTATCAAATAGCTGTTGAACAAGCAGAACAGACGTTCAGAAACGTGACGTCTTCACTGCTTTGCTCGTGGTCCACTCACTGAAGTCCCCGTTTTACCCCAACTAAAAGATTTTTAGATATTTTATTAAATCTATCATAACTATGCCAGCTGTTTGTCAGCAGTTCAGTGTTTTTGTTGTGTTATTGTTAAAACTTTCCCTTTTTTTTTCCTTAAGCCACCTCAGAGTGGATTCAGTTTTTTAAAGATGCAGGGATCCCAGCTGGTCTTGCTGTCACTTATGCAGTCTCCTTTGTGGACAACAGGTAACCTAAAGCCCCAGTTTCAAAGGCCTGATATTAAACCCCACACGTGCTTTTTATCACCTCCCTCACAATTTATTGTTTATGCCACTGCAGGATTCAGAAGAACATGCTGATGGACCTCAGTAAAGACATCATGATGGACCTCGGCATTACGGTCATTGGTGACATCATTGCCATTCTGAAACATGCCAAGCAGGTATACAGGCAGGTGAGGACCGACTTAGTGTTTTGAAGTAATGAAGCATTACTCTCATTGATGTCGCCAGTGTGTTTTTGTTAGGGAGTGTGAATGGGCATAGTGTGAAAGTGCTTTTGAGTGTGTTGCTATGCATAGAAAAGTTTTAAAAGTATAAGACATTACCATGGACTCCAAATTTAACTTAACCCTGAACGCGTTCCTGCCCTCTAAACTTCAGGACATGTGCAAAATGGCCACGGAAGCCATCTCCTTAGGACAGACCAGTGTTCAAGCTGAGCTGAGAAGAACCGCCAACACTCGTAAGTAACAATATCTTAATTATACCACTATTAAATTACCACTAACTTGGATTTCTCTTCTGATTGAATATGAGGGTCACAACAGCTATTCAGACTAGACCAGTGAGAGTGGTAAAATATACATTATCTATTATTACAAATGATTACAAAATAATTGTCTTGTTATTCATCCAAAGCTACTACATAGCTGTACTGGAGCAACAGGACAGTCTGAACAATGAATCAGCCCAGATGCAATATTAGTCATAGGTATGTCTGCAAGCAGGTAAAGGTGAACCACTCATGTCCTCTGCTGCGATTCAGAATTGGGGCAAATAGATGAGACTGAGCAGCTCAAGCTATTTACACGAGAAAGTTCCTTGTTAGTTGGTGATTAAATGTTAAGATTACCTATTTTTAAACAGAATGAAATTGGCCACTTGATTGTGATTAATGGTGTTTACATAAGACATTTTATTCTGATGGGATTTAGTTTTCTTCAGAATAAAAGGCTCATTTTTAACAGTGTTTCATACAGGTCATAAGATTCCTGTTTGCAGATTGAGGAGTGGAACAAACAGTTAATGTCAGTATACGGTAATACAGTGCTTCGCCTAGCAAAGTGGTATTTATTACAGCGTTGTCATTTATTGGTGTTTTATTAAATGTACGAGTACACTGAACAGATTTTTCCCCTTAAGCCTGTTACCACTTTGTCTTAACAGTTTGTAATGGCGTAATTGATTATTGGGTGCACTGACATTAACTGCTATACTTGTGTAAAAGAGACTAAAAATAAAAGAACCAACATATGCACTGCCACATCATCACTAGTAAACTGTGGGTGTTCGTACACAAGATGGGTTTTGGGGCAGTATCAGTATCATCTCTGTAGTTAAGGACTGTGTGGCATTAAAAACGGTCTCAGACTTGCAACAGCAGCACAACAGAAGGTTGCATTAGAAATGTAGTGTTTTATATCTCAAGTAGGATTTAAGCCGTCATAAGCCTGGTTAGGAGGAGTTAGGAGAGATTATCTCTACTGATCATATAAGATTTGATTAGCTAAATTTGTCAGTGTTAACGTCAGGTATATTGAAAGATAATTGTTTTCATGAGAGGATAAAGTAAATCAGTTTATTCAAATGTTACCAGAACAACCTTGCTGGCCGCAGTGTCAGGTTGTCAGTTCTTTCCAACCTGTTGTTTTGTGCACACTTTTCATTTTGGCATGTCTAGTGCGATTTCTTGCATTTCTGAAGACAACTGTGAAGCCCATCTGTCCTCTGTGCTCATCACAGTTTCTCAGCAGTTTTAAAAGAAAAAAGCCAAATTAAGTTGCAGCTCTTTTTTCTCAGCTGCCACTCGTATGATTGCCAACGCTCTAAGCCATGACTCCCCGCCAGCCACGCCAGCCACTCCAGCCCGCCGACCTGACAACTGCCTCTCCGTCACAGTGTCCAACATGCAAGCGAACAAGAGCAACAAAACAGGTAGATATCAGAGAAAGTTCATTTTACCATATCAGTCTCTTATTTCCTATTCCTCTGGAGCCACGAGTCTTGTCTGTTTAATCGTCATGTTCTGCTACCGTGTTTGTCAGCTGTGAGTCAGCCAGCTGATGAGGGGAACGGTTTGCCAGCAGTGAAGCGCCGGCGAGTGACAGCAGAGATGGAAGGCAAGTACATCATCAACATGCCCAAAGGCACCACGCCTCGTACACGCCGCATCCTGGCCCAGCAGGCCAAGAAAGGTAGGCCCAACTCGGTGGCCTTGCCGGCAACTCCCAGATAACTCTGCTGCTCACTACAACTAATCAAAACTAAATGTCGCCATGGACCACATTCATACTAACCAGGTGACTCTGGGTTCATGTGGAGAGCCTGTTTGGCTTTCATTCATTTCTGTCATAACCAAATCCCTCGCCTCTACTAATACCTCCCACTGCGCTAACAATTACTCCCTCTGTCCAACTGTTCTTGGTTTTTAAAGTAACAGATTTTACCCAACTGTAAAATCTGTTACTTTGATCTTTGTTCCAAGGCATGAGTTTGCAATTGGTTTCTGTCTCTGAAACACATTTTCTCTTGTAATTGATAAAAGCAACATTTTATTTAACTGGCTTTTTGTCAAATCGGCTTTTGTCAGAGTTTGTAATGCACTTTCCTTCAAGAGAAAATTGAATTCTGAGGCTAGCTATACTGAATCAACACAATTTCAAGATGGCACAGCAAAGCATAGAAACACTTAAAATGGGTATTGATAACGATGACGAATGTAATGTAGTCATTATATTTATGGACTTCCACTGTCCTAAAAATGAAAATAAAGACACATTAGGAAGTACATTTACAACAATAAAAATACAGATAAAGCTCAAAAATATATACAATAATGTAGCCTGGTAGTACATGTACATGGTTGGTGGTAGTCTGCCATGTACTGTATTTTGTCATGTACTGAAGCTGAAATCTTTTGAATTATTAGAGCATCAGATCTGGTAATAAAACATTAGATAAACAGAGACCCGATTTAAATGGCACCTTATAAAACATCTTATGGAGTCTGAAAATATTTTATTTACAGTAACATAGCATTATTAAAATATCATGTAGAGAAGCAGAACTGTATTGACAGGGAACTTCTACCCAGTATCTCACCTACACCTGAATAGACCACAGAACATGAAAAAAATCTTTAAAACATCAAATTATTCATTATTTTCATTTAGGCATTCATAGACTATAAATGAAAAACTAAAATTAGTAGGAAGAATATGATTTTACATATACATCAATCAGCCTTAAGATTATGACCACTGACAGGTGACGTGAATAATATTGATTATCTGATTACAAACGGTGTGTGGGGTATATTAGGCAGCAAGTGAACATTCAGTCCTTGAGGCTGATGTGTTGGAAGCAGGAAAAAAGGGAGAGTGTAAGGATCTGAGTGAGTTTGACAAGGGCCAGACTGTGATGGCTGACGACTGGGTCAGAGCATCTCCCAGACTGCAGGTCTTGTTGGGTGTTCCTGGTCTGCAGTGGTTAGTATCTACCAACAGTGGTCTAAGCTCTAATCCACACTGAAAGTGTTTTCTACACTCATCGTGCTCTGCAAATGTTTCACTCCACACCGAATCCAAGATGCACATAAGACACGTCTCCCCTGGGGCCCTCGCTTTTTTTTTTTTTACGCTTCAGGTCTATTTTTTCCTCTCTTCTGCATTTAGTGAAGCTTAATCTCCACAGTGAGCCGTTTAAATCACACTTCTCATTATTTTCTGTTTCTGCTCTGACCTGTTGCAAATTATCAACCTGCTTTAAGTTTCACTTTCTTCATCTGTAGAACCAGGGCAAATCAATAAAATTATTTTTGGCTGATTATACGTCACTGGTGACAAACCTCTCACATTTAAGCTGTCCCATTAATTTGTGTGTAAATCGTTCTGATTGCTGCTCTGCTCCTTTATAAATAGGTCTGAAACGCACCTCTGTGTTTGCAAGACTTGGGGCTGAATCGAGTGCAGACACAACAACAAGCAATAACAAGGTGAGACCTGTGAGTGTGTCTTAATGGCTCACTGTTTGTTATAAAGATAGGTTGTGTGCTCATCATGCTCCTCTTTCACAGCCCACTGGTGTGTTCAGTCGTCTGGACCAAGGGGATGAAGATGAAGATGGGCCAGTGCCAGAAAAGATGGTGGGAGACATAGATGTGGATGATGACGACAGTGATGGAGAAGGCTCTGTTCTCCAGTATGCCGGCGTCCTCAAAAAGCTGCCTCCTTCCCAGGATAAAGTACCAGCCACAAAACCAGCCCGGACCCCTCTGCGGCGCCTGGGAGGCAAATTCAAACTACCTTCCTCCGACACTCCCTCCTCCTCCTCTTCTTCTTCCCCTAATGGCCTCCCCTCTGCCAAGATTAGTGTGCTTCGAAGACTGGGTAGGCTCCCTGCCACACACTCAAACACGTCAACCGTGTCACCTACACCCGCTGACACACAGGACAACAGAGTGACCAGCAGCAGACCCAGAGCTCAGGAGAGACCCACCATAGCAAGCTCCAAGGTCAGCAGCAGCACTGCGGCTGGAGGAGGAGGAGGAGGAGGAGAGTCCTTGGGGGCCCAGATGGATGTTAAGGCTGTCAGTGTCTTTAAGAGACTGGGCAACAAGAGAACCTAACAGATGAATCCCTAAAATTTATTCAGACTCCTGTTATGCATCTTTTTATCCTGGGTACATGCAGGACTGTAGATTTATGTTTTTATTTTGGAGTCAGTCTGAAAACCGAAGCCTGTTCACCCTGAGTGTATGTGCATTTTCAGTGCTGCGTTGAGGCTTTAGGGATGCTCTTAGATAAAAAAAAAAAAAAAAAAGTATTTCTTTTTTATATATTTCATTATACTGGCATTGGAAACTTGCCTTTTATTTGGTGTTCAAGCCTATAATTGGAGGACTTAGTTCTCTGTGGCATTATGTTGCTGTTTATCATGTCTTAGTCATATCTGCCATGTATATTTGACTATATTTGTGACCTTAAGGCATGAGTGTGACATCAACCAATCTTCCATGATGGTCATTTTATTTTAGCCTGTTAACTCCAATTATAAGGATGCTGCTGCCTAAATGTCTGTTTTATGAGGTTCCTCTGGAATGAAGACAGTTGTGGTTGAAAATGTCCCTCAAAATGAATCATGTGATCACTGTGTTGATATTTGCCTGAAAGATAAATATTTCTGAAATAATCTATATGTATGAATAATAGTTTTTCCTGTAGGTTTGAAACACAGGATGGCAGTTGGACATAATGCTAACCATCAGGTGACGGTTAAGTCTTCTTTACCTCAAAATGAGTTCCCACATAATGTTTTGAAAGTAGAAAATGTTTATAAATATTGATGAAAGGCCTCTGAACTTTTCCCCTGAGCTAAAAAAAAAAAAAAAAAGGATATGCGACGGGTTCCACAGAACGACCTCTGTCTACAACTGAATCAAGGAAAAGCACCGCACCTCCTCCTCTTCATCTACTCTTTGTGGAGTTGAAGTTCACACCTCAGAACTAAAGACACCCAAGTTGACTTTTTTTACCATAGCACTGAACGTTTTCTAAACCACCTACTTGAAGCCCAGCTCAGTAGAATGTTTATTTTGAAATGCAGTGTATAGATTTGTTAGTTGGTTTTACACAGCACAGAGCCTGCTCTGCCACATATTTTTCTATGTGTATTCCTTGTATCATGTATCCATGTAGAGAAACTCAGAGATTCCATCAGGCCTGGTGTCGAGCCACTGCACTGTATATCTGGTAAGTAACTCGCACTACTCAGTATGAGTCATTGGCTCCTGTGTACTATTTTGGTCTTTCAGGTTTCACACCAGAACTTTGTTACATTGTAAATATTTTTGAAATGTTTAAAATCATGTACAAATTTGTATTGTTCTAAGGAAAAAATTAGAGCAAAACACACTAGCCATCTCTGTCATGAAGTTTTTAAAGATTTGGGGGTGGGAGGGGGTTAATTACCTGGAAGATAATTAAAAGCAAAGGGTCCAAAGGCTGTTCTGTGTTGTCTCTGTACTTTGCACAGTGATGCATCAGACATGGCAGCACAATCCATATTTATATTCCTTTCAGAACATTGAGTTGACAATTTTTTTTCCCCAACAGTCTCGCACACTGAGGTTGCTGCTGCATAATGCTGGCTGAGCTGTGAGAGGGATGCCACAGTGAAGCCTGAGACAAATGTCCCCACAGTATCAGTAAAGTGCATCATAATCAGATTATATTTCATGGAGGTGAAGATCTATTTTATGATGGTTTATTGGCATCATCTAAAATTCAGTAAGCAGTCTGCATCACCACCTCCACATTCGCCAAGCAGCTGACAGTAATTAGTGCTATACTGTATAGTTACTGTCTTATCATTGGCCCTGGCATATGGAGAGACTGCTGGTAGTGTTTTCATCAGTCTAGCTGTACAACACCTGCACATAGTGTACTGTAAGTTTTGCTATGATGAATTATTCATGAATCTATCTGTATGCTGGTGGAAGTAGAAATGACAGTTCACCCAGGAGGAGCTGATGTACCTTAGGTCCTGGATGCATGAAGCAAGGAACAAATATAGATGGGACACAACCTGTGTCTACATGACTGTCACTGAGAGAATGGTCTGCTCCTGGACTGTGCTGCTCCTTATGAAAGCACTGCAAAGATGCCAGGTTGCTTGTAAATCAGGAAGAACTGATGTAATATAACTTGCAAAGTTATATTAAAAAAACTGTATAGAGGGAGTATGATTGGTTGGTCGCTTACTTTTCTTGAGTCTCTTTTCTTGCCACTTTCTTCTGCTTTACAACATTTCAGGGGGAAATATTGTAGTTTTTACTTCATTATAAATGTTGGACATGTATAGTTACTTTACAAATGCCATATGTTCATGGTTCAAGCTTCTGAAGTATAAAGATTTTCGACCTTTTTTTATAATTTTGAGGACTGTTTGATTACTTTGGCCTCTGGGCAATTATTATGGGCATTTCTCACTATTTCCAACATCTTTACAATCAGTTGTCAAATTGAAAACTATAGCAGTGAAATGCTGTTTACACATGAATGCATCAGTAATAATAGTCTAATGATAATATGGTATCACAACCACAGGAGCTAACGTTTAATCTGTCTGCATTGGGTACAGTTGCTTTAAATACCTTGTGTATATTTAGTTGATTATACGTTACGATTTACTTTTCAGTTCAGGGCTTGTCACAGTATTTTTAAAGGCCTGTTATTAAAGGACCTGAATACTTCACCAACGTGGGCTGCACGGCGAGTGTAATTGACATTGTGTCCCCTTGAGGGCGCTCTCCCACCTCCTGTCCTCTGCCCCTATGGTGCCTGCGGCCCGTCTCCATCTCCTTGAACACCTTATCAGCTGAGGACATCGGCCGCTCCGGTTTGGCCAGAATCTGATGTTTATAAGATAAAGGGCAAATCGGTTTAAGTAAAATAGCCCGTATCGGGCTTTTTTTATTTTACTGAGGACTGTCTTCTTCCAGACAATGAGAGTGACGTAATCTGCTAGCTCTTATTAGGTTATACGAAATTATCACTTAGCCTAGGCTGCAGTCAATATGAGTAGACTGGATGTCAAGGCGTAACCAATAGACAAACAAATATGCAAATAAGCTCTTATTTATGTGTACACAATTAATGATTCATATAGGCCTGCGTTATATGAATTTACCAAAATGAGACATGCCTTTGACCAATAATCTATCGTGTCTGGACATTTCTGCACGTTTTTTCGGTTTTTGCCATGTAAAATCTGGACTGCAGCAACGCGTCACGACTCGTCTGTTTTCCCACAATGCTTTGCGGTAGGGTTGCTGTGTGTACTCTGGTGTGTGCGCTGTCTGTGGTGCTGAAGCTGCGCGTGCCTCGGAGGCTGATACCATAGAATTCCAGCGAGCATCCTTCCGCGTGAGGACCAGCACGAGAGGTCTGTTGTTTTCAACGGTTGGGAAATTCAGGATGTTTCTACCAGCTGTTTTAGCCATATTTATCTTTCCATAACAGCAAACAGTAGTTAGGCCTACAGGACGTTTACTTATATTCTTAAAGCACAACCTACAATCCGAATACGCTTCTGAAGCCGTTTTCTTGACTGTTTATCAAGGCTCGTCGTCCCTCCGGTGCCTCCGCCTGCCCAGCCGTTTTTGCCGCTCCATCCCACATCCTTTATGCACAACACGTTGCTCCGGTCCTCCCCAGCAAAGCACACATTCGTGTCCGAACACCATGGCCCGCTCCATTCGCTTTCTCTGAGAGACATGGAAGCCAAACAGCACCAGATAAAGAGCCTTAAAAGCTACCCAGAGACCGGCGGGCCGAGCCCGGGCGCGGGCGCCCGGGGGGACGGGGGGGCGGCGGCGGGTATCGAGCCAGCTCTGCTGAAATGGAGATGGAGGTGAAGATCCAGAAAGCCATCGACTTCAAGGCGGAGGGTCACCGATGCTACAAGGAGAAGAAATTTCGGGAAGCAATAGGCAAGTACCACAGGGCGCTGCTGCAGCTCAAAGGGGTGCATGTTGTCGACGGGACGGGTCCCGAGGTCAACCTGCTGACCCAAGCCGCGACCAAGCTGACCGAGGAGCAGCGGAGAGCCGTGGAGAACACGGAGATCGAGTGCTACGACAGCCTGACAGGTGAGCAGCAGTGCCGGTACGCCCTCACAAACACTGAGACATCTGTAGCCTAGAAGTACTGCTGACACCATTGTTCCTTCCGGTTCAGCGGGTTCACACAAGTTACCTAGGCTCTGGTTATTTCTGCTGGACGTTTCTTGTGCAGGGGCAGGTGAAATAACATTGGTGTTTGCCTACAAGAATGCAGAAATGTGGCTTCGTCGGTGGAAAACGCTCACGGTGCTGACTTAATGGAGAATATGGGAGATGTGTACACCAAATTAGTGCATTCTTTAGCCTAGTGAGGCCATTTGCCAGCCATTACAGAGAAATGCCAAAGTTAAATGAACACATCCTATCATTACTTTTCCAGTTTACAATCTTTCAATTGATATGTGTCATTTCTTTAAAGCACATTTCTGCTTTTCCCCTATAATTTCTGTATTATTGTGTAAGAAAAAGGAAATAAAACACACTAAATTCTTAAAGTCACAGGGCCAAAACCTATGCATATTAGGCCTGTATGGATAGGCCTAAGTTTTCATTATGCTTGTATGAGCCATGCTGTTTTATTATAACAATAACATTTCACAGTGTAGAAGCAGAAAGATGCCCCCAGCTATCCATCAGGTTGTGTCTAATGGCACCGCGTTGTAGAGGGTTAGAAAAGGTCAACGTATTACTGTTACCTGTAGTATTTACACTGGTTCAGACATTCATTCGCTTATTTCATATGCTATAACAGACCTAAATCTTTAATGAGGTTCCGTGGGTGCTCCAAAAATAGGCCTATTGAACTAATTAATCTAAGGCTGTAATTATTGAATAAATGTATATGCTCATTTTCTCTATTAATAATGGACCAAAAAATGTTTAGCACAAACTTTTATATTCCAAGATGAGGTCCTCAGATGTTCTGTCCATCTAATCAAAGCTGCTGTATAGCTTCAAATATTCACATCTGTAACCAGAAAACTGTTGGCATTTTACCTTGAAAAATTACTTAATTAATTAATTTATTGTTGCTGGTTAATTTTATGCAGATGGACTAACCAATTTATACTCTGATAGCTATACATAACTTTTTATAAAATATTTCATAAAGGCCCAAATTACATTACATTTGAAATTTGCACCACTGATGTACAATACGGGCTATGTCAAATCCTCAGTCCTCCATCTTGTGACTCTTCTTTTTTGTGAAATTTTCATCAATAAACTTGTTGCCTATTAACTTCCTGTCAACCAAGCAATCAGTGAATCTACTAATTGTCTTTGCTCAAGAGTACTGGTTGGTTTCTTGGTGCCAGAGGACATAATGAACCTGCCATGTGTTGAGTTCAGTAGGGGTCCTACAACAAACATTTGCTCCCTAGCAGATAAATCTTGCCGTGACAGAAACTGTATGTGTTTCCAAGGTCATGAATGAACACTTATGCTAAAGATACAATATCAGAAATATGGTATTCTGGTTATTATTTTCTATATTTCAACTCCCTATAGTTTACACTGTCAGAGTGTGAAAATCATTTTTCAAAATTACTGTTCATCACTCTGGGCTACTTGGGAAAGCAAACAATGTCTTTGCCATATATTCTTAGCTATTTTCAGTAAGTATTCAGTGACAGATATGTCTTTAGATTTGCTGATTTAAACAACAACACATATGCTGTATTCATAAATACAAATATGTTATTGTAGCTATTAAAGTAAATGATAAATAAACTTGACTCTGCTGTGAAATCTTAATTATGGCTATAGTGTGCGCTCAGTATGCAGTATGAAGAGCAGATCCTGATGAATGTTGGCATCCAGAAGGAGATTATGATGGCAATGATGATGATGATGATGATGAATGGTGCACACTGGCACTACTGCACATCTAGAGCAGCAGCAACTAATCGATAAAATTGATTAAAGTCGATAATAAAAATAGCTGGCAACAAATTTAATTATCGTTTAGCTGGTCCAGTGGCGTAGCTGTGTGAGGTGGCCAAGAGCAGACATGGCTGGGTCAGCGACCGTGTGAGTGCTACTGTTCCACGCTCCAATTCGATAGGTGGCGGTGTTGCACCTACACGTTGGTTTGCCAGCCGCCAATCAAAAGAAGTAGTGGAAGAAGAAGAAGACCGGATGACAAAACATTTAAAAATGGCGGAAGTTACAGCAGAAAGTAATAAGAAAGAAGTAAGAAATAGAAGTAAAGGGAACTTAACCTTAAGTAAGTTGTTAATTTTGGCTATTAATATAAGAAATTGTGAAGCGAAAATTATGATGCCCCTGATTTTAAGTAACGTGGTTATATTGTTATGTATTGTATTGTATTTAGGAACATAATGGTGGCTTATATAGGCTGGTAATAATGGGTGCTAAATGTATTTCCATTTGTGGTGCATTCGTGTAAACATGAAACGTGTGAACAGACATTATATTAAAGAGCCCATGGCATGCTTTTTCTTGTTTTTTGACTTTTTGACTTTCAATAAAGCTTATGTTAAAAAAAAAAAGACATCCACCAGTGCCAGTGGAAATTTTCCACTGCATCTGGTTTTGTGGATATATTTTACTTCCTCCTGCTGCACTGGGACCAGAGGATGTGGACAAAAATACAGGGCCTGAGGTTACTGCATGTCCAGGAATGTTCATGTACAGGGACTCTGACTTTCAATAAAGCTTATGTTAAAAAAAAAAAGACATCCACCAGTGCCAGTGGAAATTTTCCACTGCATCTGGTTTTGTGGATATATTTTACTTCCTCCTGCTGCACTGGGACCAGAGGATGTGGACAAAAATACAGGGCCTGAGGTTACTGCATGTCCAGGAATGTTCATGTACAGGGACTCGTTGTTTTACCTGACCGGATCTAACCGACAAACCGCTGCCTGTGAAGACCCCGGCAGCGGTGATTGATCAGCTCATCAACACTAGATTCCCCTGGAGCACAGTACCTGTTTGTTTTGACTGCTTGCTCAGTGTGTCTGCCATGTGTGATGTGTTGCTGTTTAACAAGCAGATTAATGACACATGATGTTATTGTCGGTGCTACGCTACCTGTTGGAATTAGTTTCACTGCTTTGGGACTGTATGTCGTGTGATGGAAGACACAGTGACCACTGGTTGGATTTACCGACCTTGGAGTTACTTGAAAGGGAGTGATGTTTCCACTACTCAGTGGGACTTAATGGTAAGTTTTAAAAAACATGTTGCATGTCTGTTAATGCCTTGTTTCTGTAATGCTAGAGAGAATTGTTGTAAGGCTGGCGAAGTTACCATGTCTGCATTATGGCAGTTAAAATATGGGGTTTCTTCATTACCTGCTTTGTTTAAAGTGTTACACATCTGTTTTCATTGGTACATATACCGTTGTTTACCTATCTATGGAGCAGAAATTCTAATTAATTAATGCTGTTGCCGTTTGTTGTGCTGTCCACTTGTGACACAACATTGGCAGCATGAGTTGTATGCATTCACAAACTGTCCTCTCGTTTTAGAGAAGAGGCTTTTTGGCTCTGATTCTGAAACAATTACAAACTATTTGGAGTTATGAGGGTTAAACTATCTAGAGGTACCCAAGATTAAACATTAAATGGCTGGAAATAACATAGTAGATGGCTCATAGGCAAGTTAGGAATAGGCCTAAATGTGTTGAGGATTGTTTAGGCACACTCATATTTACTTTTAGCTGTCAGCAGTAGCAGTTAGTGATGGCCAAATGGGGCTTTGCAGTTTTTTTGCACAAATACTCAAAACCTCATTTGACCCAGTGTTCACTAGTGAAAATGAAGTACAGTCATCATCATCATCATCACACCGCTAAGAGTGCAAATACTGACATGCTTGTGTAATTGAAAGAAGAAAGGGAAACATTTGATTTTTTATTTAGAAAGAGAAGTTTCTATTATATGACATATATACTCTTTATCTTACAGGAAAAATAATTCAGTTTATTAATTGTGGTTTCGTATTCTTACTGTCAAGAGTTGAATCAAACATGATTCAGATCCTCAATACTAAACAATAAATAAAATTAAAACAATAAACATGCCGTAAAGTCTCAGCATTTTCTGTAAAAATACCCATCCAGTTACAATTGCAAGAGTTTTACTTGTCTCTGTCCTTGTATCAACAGTTTGAATCCGTGAATCTCAAACTGAAACAGTCATGTAATTCTGTCAGAAACCGAGGCCTTGTTTGTCATCGATAATGTGACAGTTGGGAAAATGGGCCAAGCTTGAAGTGAGGCTTCATTTTGAAATGCCCCATCTACTCAATACACCCTTTAAGCTTTGGTGTCATATAACATCACTAGTAGTAGTCATGTCTGTACTGGCCCTTTTCATTAACATGGCATGTTTTATGAGCATCTAGCCTAAAGTATTTTAAATCAAACAATTTTGTGTTTTTGTTAACACCGAGGACCTTTTGTGTGCATTATAAACACTGTATTCTTGAACAAATTTTTTTTTTTTGTTTAATAATGCACTACATAGAAACATTGCATTAGCATTGTTAAAAGAATGTGTTTGTTTTGTAATGTGGAAAATAGATTTCTTCAAGTTTTTTATACATCCATAGAAATAATTGACAGATTAATTGATTATTAAAATAATTATTTTCAGCCCTAATCACATCACTTAGAAGAAATCATTACCTTTGTGAATGTTGAGATTTTAGGTCATGAGCATGGCATGATGGGGCTGTGGTGATGTTGTGGCTCATTGCTGTCCCAGGCGCTGCCCAGTCGCACTGCCATGATGCATTGAAGATCGTCTATCTCTGGGCAGTGATCAGGGCCTGTAGGGAAGCCACTGTGGAGTGAAGCAACAGTAGGGGAGGGAAAGGAGTACAGCAAGAAAAGTAAGGAAAATGGATAGTTAGGGAAGGGTGGAAGCAGTAGATATGGTGGAAATGATGGAGGAGGGAAAGACTTGTAAGAGAAGAAAAACAATCATGGAGAAGGCAGAGAGCAGTGGAACAGAAAGGTGGGGAGGATGGGACGGCTAGCACACGGCAGGGGACCA